AACAGAAGGTCATTCCTCTCCACAGATCTGAGGCTGGTATTTAAGCAATGCCGGAGCCGGTGCACCCACGAGGTTGCAGGCTTCAGTGCAAAAATTTAATAAATGCACATTTTTAGGGCTCAAAAAACCCAGGCTCCAGGTCACCATGAGAATTGTGCCCTGGCCTGAGTTCACACATTGCCTCTCATAGACTGGAATGGGTAATCGCGCCCCATAGACTTGAATGGGGAAACTGCGACCCATAGACTTCAGAGCACTAATGCCTCCCAATAGACTTCAGAGCGCAAACTTCTGTCAACAGCAAAACATTTATCTCTGCATGCCACTCTACTCTATCACTTGAGAGTCTGGAATGCACCGCTATGAACTTGCACAGGACCCTTTTCATAATGGCATTCAAAACACAATGCGTATGGATCGCATCTGTGTGAACCATCTCAATAGGAACAAAAATTTCTAGCCTGTCATGCGAATCTATGAGTTTCAAAAAGAACTAGAATCACATTTGTGTGAACCAGGGCAGCTCCATTCACACCTGAGCGTTTTGGGATCGTGACCGAATCGCTGTGATTGCAAAACGCAGGTTCAGGTGTCATTATTTTCTTTCAACTCTTTTTTTTATTAAGGTTTTTCAAGTCAATAACAGAAACATAAAGTAGTCGGCTGTAACAGTAGCCGTAGGAACATCACACATTGTCCAAATTATGCAGAGTACATTCAGCAGTTACAGAACATTATCTGATATATAAACCAGACCATAGCAGTACACACTTCATTATTCAAGTGGGCACATGTGATACATACGGGATACAATTTTATCCATTGCAAATACAGTCGAAACAAAATACAACAATGAAAAATAAAAAAAAATAAAGAAAAACCACAAAAGCAGGAGAAAGGAATAAAAAGAGGAAAAGATCAAAAGATGATAAAGAGGTTCAACATATTCAACAAGAAGATTTTAAAATCTTTGTCCTACGGACCTTTGCCCATATAGTGTGATCTGAAAATGCGTAGGCTCTGTCATACAGATAGTGGGAGTGTACTCTGTTAATCACCTCCCGAATAGGAAGGGATGTAGAAGATTTCCACGCTTTAGCAATAGTTGGCCGAGCAGCTATTAGAATAATTTATTTATTTCAGGTACTTATATAACGCCGTCAATTTAAACAGCACTTTACATACATATATTGTACATTCACATCAGTCCCTAACCCTCAAGGAGCGTACAATCTAAAGTCCCTAACCAGGGGCGGACTGACAACTCATGGGGCCCCCGGGCAATAGGGGATCATGGGGCCCCTGTGTCCTTGCCCAAAGTAAAAAAAAGCCTATGAAAAAGGTACCAGGGGCATCTCATGGGGCCCCCTACTGACCCCGGGCCCTCGGGCAGTGCCCGAGTTTCCAAATGGTCAGTTCGCCCCTGTCCCTAACTCAAATTCATACATACACATACTAGGGACAATTTAGACAGGAGCCAATTAACCTACCAGCATGTCTTTGGAGTGTGGGAGGAAACCCGAGTACCCGGAGGAAACCCACGCAGTCACCGGGAGAACATGCAAACTCCAGGCAGGTGGTGCCGGGGTTGGGATTCAAACCAATGACCCTAGTACTGCCAAGTGAAAGTGCTAACCATTTAGCCACTATGCTGCCCACATGTTCTCCCTGTGCCTGTGTAGGTTTCCTCCCACACTCCATGACATGCTGGGAGGTTAATTGGCTTCTGTCTAAATTGGCCCTAGTATGTATGAATGTAAGTTAGGGACTTTAGATTGTATGCCCCTTGAGGGTTAGGGACTGATATGACTGATAAGTGCTAACCATTTAGCCACTGTGCTGCCCCCATATTAATATGAGCAATAATTGTCTGAAATTGAACAGAAAATAAATTCAGTGTAATATTTAGTAATGCTAGATGAGGATTAGGATTGGTCTGTACTCCTGACATCCGAGAGATCAAATCAAAAACATCACTCCAAAATTCCCGTCTCTTTGCACATTCCCACAAAACATGCAGTAAGCTTCCTACCTCACTGCAAGCCCAGCTGTCATTATTTTCAATAGTGCCTAAAACATGGCGCGCTTTTGCCGTGATTCTCGCGTGGCAAATCGCATGGCGTGAAGTCCTGGGCGCTGACAGCCCACACTATGCTAAAAATAATTGGCTCCTAACTTTTTAAGTGGCTCCTAAATTCAAAGCAAATTTATCAAGCACTGCACATTTGTTTTTTTTTTTTCCTAATGTGGGAGCATTCAGTACATTTTTTGGAAAAGGATTGCGGCTGTAATGGAGTCTGCTCTTAGGCATGACTTTTACTTTCAAACGCTTAACATTGTTGATGGGTCAGCTTTATAGTCAAACGGCCTTTGTTGGCCATAGCGGCCGGTCAGGCTCATACTGTCATTTTTCTTGTGTAGTACTGGAAGTAAAGCAATTATCTGGCTGCTGTGGGCACGTTGGCAGAGCTGCTTTCAGACACTTTGATGAAGTAGGCCTGTTGTGTCCTTTTGGTACAGGAACTCGAACCGGCTACACATGCGGGCTGCCCCTACAGATTTGACTGGCCGGTCCTGCAGGCTGCTCCTTCCAATTATAAATCATTATGGATGAGGACAATGAAGGCTCCAGCAGCTGTACAAGGTTTGAGCAATGTTATGACGATGTTCAGTGCATCCTAATAGAAAATTCTTCAGTGGAAGAACACAGAACAGTGACACAGCGTCCTTGCCCATAGTCTTGACAGCTACAAATCACTTCTTTGCCCGACACTTCCAACTCAAGGCCTTTGTTTGGGAGGGACAAATGCAAAGGGGAACGTGCTGGTTGTATTTACTGAAGAGTAGATAGTTGTCCTAAGGCCTGTTGTATTCACTTCTTGCTGCATGGAGTGGGGATTATATATGCTTTTAATATGTTCTATGTATGTTATTATTCTTCTGTAAAAACCTCCCTTGTGTAGACATCTTAACAGCCATAAGACTGCTGCTGGGTGCTGCCATCTTGGAAATGTGGTCAGCAGCTCTAGCATGCTAAGAGTTGTCACTCAGGTGACACTCTATGGCAGTGGTATGGACGACGTGACGGTGTTCTGTGCCAACCAGCGCTCCATCGACCTGCTCGTCCAGACCTGCGAGGACTTCGGCCAAGCTTCAGGGGCAAAGGTCAACTGCGGGAAGTCGGAAGTCATGCTCTTCGGAAAGTGGTTCCTGCCTTCTTCTGCATCCATGCCCTTTGGCATCAAGACAGACTTCATGAAGGTTTTGGGAGTTTGGTTTGGTGCCGAGGGCGCAGCCCTGAAGTCTTGGGAGGAGAGACTGGCCAAGATGCGCCAAAAGTTTGGACTCTGGAGCCTCAGAGACCTCACCATCGAAGGGAAGACACTGGTACTCCGCAGCGAGATTCTCCCTGTGTTGCAGTACCTCGCCCAGGCCTGGCCCCCTCGGGTCAACACTGCAAGGCCATCACCAGGGCGGTGTTTCACTTCATCTGGGGCTCCAAGATGGACAGAGTGAAGCGGGCAGTCATGTTCAAGGAACCCCTCAAGGGCGGTAAGGGCGTGCCCGACATCGCCACCCCAGCTGAGGGTGTTCTTTGCTTGCAACTGCATCCGCAGAACTTTGCCAAGACGGACTATGGACTCTGGCGGGAACGCAATGTCTCGCTTCTTCCTGTTGCCTCTCTGGAGGTCCCTGGGGTGGGACACCTGGGATAGTTCCATCCCCTACAACTGGGACACTCCTTGGTACTACTTGGACACCTTCAAGTTCATCAGGGAGCAAGGGCTGCAGGGAGTCAAGCCTTACAAGCTATCATCCGAGCCAGCGACATTTTGGAGTCGGTTCCAGGCCTGCCTTCAGACACCTGCAAGGTGGTCTGGAGGAATGTTTCTTCCAACATTCTTACCAACAGGCACAAAGACCTGGCATGGATGGCAATCCAAGGGGGGTTGCCTCTCAGGACATTTATGCATGCCAGGAACCTGAGCAGATACAGACACTGCCCCTTCTGCATCATCCATGAGGAAACGTCTTACCACGTTTTCTGGGAGTGCTCATTTGCTCAGGCCCTGTTGGGGGCCCTGGAACCTGAACTCAAGGTTGTGCCACAGACAGCCATCACTCACTTTGGGGTGTTGAATGGACTATTCTGTGGAACTTTCTCTCTGGAGGACATTGACAGCGCCTGGAGGGTGCTGTGTTGCTTTAAGGACGCTTTATGGTGCGCCAGGAAGCGCCTCATCCACCAGCGGGAGAGGATGTCCATTGAGGACTGCCGCAGACTGACCCTCAGACTGCTCAGAGACTATTCCTTGATGGACTTTAAGGAGGAAGAGGACGTCTGAAGATTTCCCCCTTCCCCCTACTCCCCCTTGCGTGTCTTTGTCTTTTCAATAAAGGGGCCTGTGGTTTTCCCCCCCCCCCCCCCCCCCCCCCCCCCCCACCACACATACCTGATGCCTATTGATTGATTGCAATATCCGTTTTTTTTCATTTTTGTGCATGCACTAGTATTGTTAGGTAACGTAATGTGTAGTAGAATGTTACAGTTTTTGGGGTAAGCGGCGTTATGCATGACGTGGTGGTCTGGGGATTCATCCTCGGCACATCACGTCAGGCATCATACCGCTGACGAATGTATTTATTTCAATGTATTTATTGTATGCTTGGCTGTATTGCCATGGGGTGCGCTGCGTCGCAGTACAGGGTGAGATTACCCCGATTACACGTATCATGTTGTGTTTTTGATGCTTCTGCAATAAAAGATCAAAAAGTGGTCTCCAAACTGAAGCCTGTGGGCTGGATGTGGCCCTTTACTTGCCTTTTTCCTCCTTGTGGCACTAGTCCTCTCACTGATATGAGGTACTATTCAATGACACCAACGATGGGGGCAGGGCAGCATAATTCCTCCCACAGACACCAATAGGGCGTGATTCACTGATACCAATGATAGGGTTACTATTCATCGCATTGATTCCAAAGATGGGGCACTATTTCTCCCATTTACACCAATGATGGGGCACCATTCCTCCCACTGACACCAATGATGGGGCACCATTTCTCCCACTGACACCAATGATGGGGCACCATTCCTCCCACTGACACCAATGATGGGGCACCATTCCTCCCACTGACACCAATGATGGGGCACCATTCCTCCCACTGACACCAATGATGGGGCACCATTCCTCCCACTGACACCAATGATGGGGCACCATTCCTCCCACTGACACCAACGATGGGGCACCTTTCTTTCTACTGATATCAACAGGGGCAGCATAATTCCTCCCACAGACACGAACAATAGGGCGTGATTCACTGATACCAATGATAGGGTTACTATTCATCGCATTGACTCCAATGATGGGCTACTATTCATCCCTTTGACACCAATGATGGGGCACTATTCATCGCATTGATTCCAAAGATCGGGCACTATTCCTCCTATTTACACCAATGATGGGTCACTATTCCTCCATTGATACCAATGATGGGGCACCATTCCTCCCACTGACACCAATGATGGGGCACTATTCCTCCCACCACCACCATTTATGGGATATCGTTTTCCTTCTACTCGCCGCAGACGCTATGTAATTTATGGGGCACTATTCCTCCCATTGACTCCAATGATGGGCTACTATTCATCCCTTTGACACCAATGATGGCGCACCATTCCTCCCACTGACAGCAATGATGGGGCACCATTACTCCTATTGACACAATTGATGGAGCACTATTCCTCCCACTGATACAAATGATGGGGCACCATTCCTCCCACGGACACCAATGATGGGCTACTATTCATCCCATTGACACCAGGGATGGGCTACTATTCATCCCATTGACTCCAATGATGGGGCACTATTCCTCCCACTGACACCAATGATGGGCTACTGTTCATCCCATTGACACCAGTGATGGGGCACCATGCCTCCCACCAATATACAATTTTGAGACACTATTTCTCCTCCTACTGACCACAGTTTTACTCTCAAAGACCACCAAGCCTGAGACATTATTTACATTTACACTCTGGGGCGTTTTCTACTCCCAGTGGCCACAGTCCACCTCTAAAATGGCTGAAGGATAGTAAACCCTCCCTTTGTTTAGAAAGTTTGGAGAGCTATGCTCTATAGTATCCTTTCTCAACCTTTTTACCCCAGAGAAACAGTTACAATTAATTTTAGGTCTTCAGGAACTTCAGCTAAAACCAGTTCATTCAGGGGTCAGTTTGAAAAATGCTCCCTATGTGGGTGGCCTTTGGTGGTCAGAATGCTACCCTTACATACAGATTGCTCTGCCAAGTGGCATTGGCTAGAAAACTCTGCAGGCGTGGATGCCAGGGCTGGACGGGAAGGGACTCCATACCACCAAAACTCTTTCTATCTCCAAAATATTAATTTGGATCCAGTGTTGTATGTCTGAGTAATTGTCAGCCAAACTATCAAAGCACTGGAAATTGCCTGGTGGTTAGGCTGGTACTCAAGTGGTTAAAATTAATAGTACCTCAACACTACGGTCAGTTTCAGGTCATTGCAGTAAGGCCTGGGAAAGAAACCAAAGACAGCCAGGCAACTAGCATTTTCAGAGCGATGCAATGGCTCTTTGCCTGTATATTTCTCTGATTTTAAGTTTTTTTTAGGCCTCATGCACACAGGGCGTCTGTCTAGCCCCTCTGAACTCCAGGCCTCCTGGCAGGAGATAAGCTGCTTTAAAAAAGGTGGTAAAAGCCACGTGTTGCACATGCGTTCAGGCGCATCAAACATTTGACCATTAATGGATTCCATTGGCCATAATATAAATTTACTTGGATTGGAATGGATTAACGCTTGTAGACACATTTGGAAGTGTTAGGTGTGTGCAGCATTTTTTTCTGGTCTTCAGCTCTTTTCCTGAATGTGTCTTTGCTGTTTTTCTGTTTTTTTTTTTTTTTTTTCCCAGCCTGTAAACACTCCTCTTTGAGGGCTGGTTCACACCATAGAACGCAACCCAGATGCATTCTGGAAGCGTGTTTTTGATGCGTACGGTGCATTTTTTTTTCCCATCTTTTTTTCCTTTCCTTAAATAAGAACGTGTGTTCCCATGCACTTTTGGTGTGTTTAGACTGGTGCTTTTTTGATGCATTTTACCATGTTCCAGTACACTTCAGTGCAGAAAAAAATGCAGCATGTTCTACTTTTTTTTCTGGAACTGGAACTGACCGCACTGGTTAACTATGCCATTGCTAACTATAAAACCTACTATCCATGCGTTTTGATGCAGAATAAAACTCCTGGACTGCATGAGGTATGAACAGGCCCTGTTCAAGTGCAGAAAAAAAAGTAGAACATATTGCATTTTTATCTGCACAGAACTGTACTGGAACGCAACAAAATGCATCAGAAGCACACTGGAATGCATCTAAATGTATCAAAAACACACCGGAACGCAGCACATAAAAACAAACAGGAAACCTTGGAAAAAAAACCAGGGGAAAAAAAGCTCTGGAGCGCAATGAAAACGCATACAAAATGTGCATGCAGAAATGCATCTCAAGTGAGTTTTTTTTTTTAGTGTGGTAAGCAAAAACGCATCCGGAATGCATTCAGAGTGCGTTTTTTTTGTGGTGTGAACTGTCCCTTAATATGCCTATAAATGCCCTTGTGTGCATTGACACATAAAGATGCTCTTACAACCTGAAAAAAACAAACACATGTATGTGTTTTTTTTTTTTTTTTTTTAAGCTCAGTGTGTATAAGGCTTTAAAGTTATTGAGACCTTGTTCCTCCCCTCACCCCATGAGTCCCTGAAAGTGCCATGTTTGACAGGTGAATACCTTTTAAGAGCAATCCGTTTGCTCATAGTGGTGCAGATGTATCAGGACGGGTAATATCATCAATTACGGAGCTATACTTTGACACTGACACTTCAACAATATTCATTACAGAGCTCCAGGCAACACTGCTAGAAAGACAAAACCTTGTTCCGCAAGTCTCCCGACAGCGCCTCGAGAGAAGTGTCTGTCTTGTAAAAACAAGAAGAATCACACAGATTGCTTCATGTCTGTTGTAAGTCAGTGACGTCACCGATGACAGTTTTAGGTCATTTAATGGGAATCAGTTTTTTTTTTAATGTAAATATATATTCCCAGGATTTAAAAATGCCATAAGTCCTTCATTTTCGGCATAATTTATTATTATTATATACAGTCAGGTCCATAAATATTGGGACATGAACACAATTCTAACATTTTTGGCTCTATACATCACCACAATGGATTTGAAATGAAACGAACAAGATGTGCTTTAACTGAAGACTGTCAGCTTTAATTTGAGGGTATTTACATCCAAATCAGGTGAACGGTGTAGGAATTACAACAGTTTGCATATGTGCCTCCCACTTTTTAAGGGACCAAAAGTAATGGGACAGAATAATAATCATAAATCAAACTTTCACTTTTTAATACTTGGTTGCAAATCCTTTGCAGTCAATTACAGCCTGAAGTCTGGAACGCATAGACATCACCAGACGCTGGGTTTCATCCCTGATGATGCTCTGCCAGGCCTCTACTGCAACTGTCTTCAGTTCCTGCTTGTTCTTGGGGCATTTTCCCTTCAGTTTTGTCTTCAGCAAGTGAAATGCATGCTCAATCAGATTCAGGTCAGGTGATTGACTTGGCCATTGCATAACATTCCACTTCTTTCCCTTAAAAAACTCTTCGGTTGCTTTTGCAGTCTGCTTTGGGTCATTGTCCATCTGCACTGTGAAGCGGTGTCCAATGAGTTGTGAAGCATCTGGCTGAATATGAGCAGATAATATTGCCCGAAACACTTCAGAATTCATCCTGCTGCTTTTGTCAGCAGTCACATCATCAATAAATACAGGAGAACCAGTTCCATTGGCAGCCATACATGCCCACGCCATGACACTACCACCACCATGCTTCACTGATGAGGTGGTATGCTTAGGATCATGAGCAGTTCCTTCCCTTCTCCATACTCTTCTCTTCCCATCACTCTGGTACAAGTTGATCTCGGTCTCATCTGTCCATAGGATGTTGTTCCAGAACTGTGAAGGCTTTTTTTTAGATGTCGTTTGTCAAACTCTAATCTGGCCTTCCTGTTTTTGAGGCTCACCAATGGTTTCCATCTTGTGGTGAACCCTCTGTATTCACTCTGGTGAAGTCTTCTCTTGATTGGTGACTTTGACACACATACACCTACCTCCTGGAGTGTGTTTTTGATCTGGCCAACTGTAGTGAAGGGTGTTTTCTTCACCAGGGAAAGAATTCTTCGCTCATCCACCACAGTTGTTTTCCGTGGTCTTCCGGGTCTTTTGGTGTTGCTGAGCTCCCCGGTGCGTTCCTTCTTTTTAAGAATGTTCCAAACAGTTGTTTTGGCCACGCCTAATGTTTTTTCTATCTCTCGGATGGGTTTGTTTTGTTTTTTCAGCCTACTGATGGCTTGCTTCACTGATAGTGACAGCTCTTTGGATCTCATCTTGAGAGTTGACAGCAACAGATTCCAAATGCAAACAGCACACTTGAAATGAACTCTGGACCTTTTATCTGCTCATTGTAATTGGGATAATGAGGGAATAACACACACCTGGCCATGGAACAGCTGAGAAGCCAATTGTCCCATTACTTTTGGTCCCTTAAAAAGTGGGAGGCACATATGCAAACTGTTGTAATTCCTACACCGTTCACCTGATTTGGATGTAAATACCCTCAAATTAAAGCGGACAGTCTGCAGTTAATGCACATCTTGTTCGTTTCATTTCAAATCCATTGTGGTGGTGTATAGAGCCAAAAATGTTAGAATTGTGTCGATGTTCCAATATTTATGGACCTGACTGTATGTATGTGAGAGCAGCCATGTCTGATCAGAGTCAACGTTTTCAGTGAAGGAATGTTCTCTAGAGTAAAGCTGGCCATAGACACCTAACAGATTCCTCCATCCATGCTACATAGCGTGGATGGATGAGTCTCACGCTGCAGAAATTGTTTTCTGACATCTGGTGCCAACGGCTCTCAGGATACCCGAACAGCGGCTGCATCTAATTGACCAAAAATTTTCAACCTGGCTCATTTAGGTTGGTAGGTTCAGTTCAAATTGTTGCTGACTCCTGCTGAATTAGCTGAAGTGTTGGTCATGGGTGGCCCTGTCGGCACCACTCTGCTCGACAAAGTTCAACTGAAAATCGAAGGAGCAGGGTGGACAATTGGTGGCGAAGCTGTTGCTGCATCCTATCAGATGCAGTAACTGCTTGGGTATTCAGGCAGCTGTGGTTGTCTGCGGTTGCCTAAATACAATAGACAGCAGTATGGATTCCTCCATCCATGTTTAGCATGAGGGAAGTAAATGATGGGGCTGAACTAGAAAAATCTACTGAGCAAAACAAAGCAGCGTACTTACATAGTAAAGCACACACAGACAACACATCAAAACAGGACACAGTTAACCCTTTGATTTTAACCCCTTCCTGCCCAGTGTCATTAGTACAGTGTAAGTGCTTTTTATTAGCAGTGACCACTGTATTGGTGTCACTGGGATGTCGGTGGCAGTTAGTTCCCTCCTAGTGTCAGAATGTATATATAAAAAAAATCCAGTATATATACCGCCATTTGTACACGCTGTAAATTTCACATAAACTAATTAATTTACACGTATTGGGATTTTTTCTTTAGCAAAGACATGGAGCAGAATACATTTTGGTCTAAATTTATAACTAATTTTGATTTTTAAATTTTTTTTACTGGACATGTTTTATGTCAAAAAAGTCCAAAATATTGTTTTGGTTTTTTTTTTTTCAAAAAATCG